TGATGGGCTGGTTCCAGGTTTTGTGGTGGTACCTTAAAATAGCGGCTCCTAGCTCATATAGCTTGTTTGGGGGCTACAGTATTTCAAACGCTTCAAGTAAGACATAATGGCGACAGTGTGCAAAGAAATTGTAGTACTAGTAAGTGTCAATATCACATTTTTTTTTGTTTTGCCGCCCTGAAATTCCATTTGATGCTTCATATAGCTTCTTGATGAGTTATCATGCTGAACTGCATCCAGACATACGTACAAATGCTACCAAAAACCAGGCAAAGGTAACAAAATACACCCTAGATTTTACATTATATTGCCCTCATTCTTTTTGACCCTCTGCCTTGTGGTCAAGATACAATGTATGTACAATGTGGTCAAGATACAATGTATGACAATAACATGGTCGTCTTCCCCCTCAGACATTGTTAGGTCATCGTGTGGAGGAGAATCTGCATCGAAAGATCTTCACCCGTCAGGAGAGAAGGAGTCATTATGGAGACATCAATGTGAAGGCTACAGCACCACTGGGTACCCAGTGTTCACCTTTCCAGGCTCTGTCCATGCCGGTAAGAACATCTACATCTATATGACTGGACACAGACCCTCACAGGGTATTACGTCTAGAGAAATGACATGACAGTGGAATCAATTTCTTCTCTATTGAAGGCATTTCTTCTCTTTTAAAAGGCATCCAATGCAATTTCAGGGTGGCAAAAAAAAGAAAAGAATATTTTTGATGTGGAAATCTGTCCAATATTGACATTTACTTAGCCTGGGTACCATCCCCAGTAGTATATTCGCAAACTCTATAACTGGAGTTATAGAGTTTGCGAATATCACGAGTCCGCCGACAGATCTTCCGTGTCCCAGGGGAGTAAAAAGTGGACTGCTGGGAGGAAGGTGTCAGCTTTCAACAAACTTAACAAGTTGCCTGCTATTAAGAGTGTGAAATGAAATGAATAAAAAAATGATTGAATAGTTTAAAAATTCATAATCACATTATTACAGGTAGGTTTGCCTTTTACATGATGGCCCAAAACCCAGAGGTCTTCAGTTTGAATCCTGTCATGTCATCAATCTTGTTCCCTTGTGAAAGGCACGTTACATGACTTTCCTCACTCCATCCAGGTGTAAAAAGGCAGTGGAATAAGAGGATGGGCTCCTCCTTCCAATACCATTCCCTAAATACAGCGGATAACAACTCACTGCCCCTGCAGTCTCAAAAAGGCTATGGGACTACCTTAACCCTATTTTTACCTTTCTACATGTATCTGTACCATCCAGCTATCCCTTTAGCATAATTTAATGAGCTGCAATGGCCACATGTCAAAAAAAAAATGTACATGCTCATATGTAGATGTGTATTCTGTGAATGATAGCTTGACTGTATATACATGGTAATGTTGGACCAAGAAAGCTTTCATCACAGAATTGTAGAATGTCCTTGGTTGGACAAGTATCATTGCTTCTCACATGTTTCATTCTGAGGAACTCCCGAGAATGTTGAATGTAATTACCGTGTACAATAATTTGATTGGACTAGAAATGTTGTCAGTTGGTCAGGATTTCTATGACTAATGTGCCGCAGCAAAGGTGCCATTTTTTTGGCAATGCCTCAGGGGTGTAGGCATTTATTGTATATTTAGCTGTGGCGCTTAAGTGTGACTTGACTGGCTGTCAAAGTTGCAAATAATTTATGCACTGTACCTTGTATAGTTTCAGGATACTTTGTATTTTATATATATTTGTTTGTATTTGCAATATTAATATTCATGACACAGAGTGCCAAGGATGTTATACAGTAAGCTAAAATCCTGAAGAGATTGTATGATATTAAATCCTGAAAAGATTGTATGATATTTTGAGCATATATTTTCACATGCAAATTGCACCTCTTTGGAATTTGGTCACACTTTTGATGAAACCAATAAAGCTATTAATAGCTGATTCAGAATGATGTCAGAATAATTTTTATTCGTTTATTTATTTGCACAAGAAAAAAGCACACATACATAACACAGTAACCAATAGATAAAACAGGTGCAGCAGGAGAGAAAAAGCATATACAGCTTATAATATGCCCTCCTCTATACTAATCAAACTTGATCAAAATTGAAATAAAGTAAAACCTAGAGTCACATAATGGTATACGTATAACCAATTATTAATGGACCATAAATTGAGATAAGAACTGGACATAAGAATCTACTACACGAGGCTGGGCAATTCTGAATCCTTGTTCAACTGATGACAAATCTGATGTGTTATTTAAGTGTTCAATGTGTTTACCTCTGCATCATCTACATCTGGTGATCAGCTTTGTTTCCATACAATATTTTTTAGTTAGCATCGTCAAAAATGTCAGAATTTCTTATTGATTCAGTTTCTGGACTTACTCCCATGGTCTTTTAATTGCGTGGTTTATCATATTAGCGTGTTGCCCACATTGATGTCAATGACAAAATGTTTGTGATCGTCTTTTTTATTCTCAAGTAACGTAACGGGAGGGGTCCTAATTCCGACCTATGTTCCATGCAAACGCACATGCCTTTGGTAATGGTTTGTCTGACCAAAAACTCGCTCAACACGAGCTTTGATATTTACAGATAAAGATAACAACGCTTAAAGCTAAAGAGCTGTGTATTTTACTTCAGGTCAGCGCCTTGCACCCAAGCGTAAGGGTTCGCGAAACTTACGGCAGGTTTTTCGTCATTCTGTCGGTGGAACGTTCTATCGCAAAAGGGGTGCCCTAATTCCGACCTAGTATTTAACAAAGGTCAATCTGAGGGGAGGGCTTAGTATTTAAAATACACAAATTTTGACTAAAACAATCTACAACTATTTTTCTGTCCCAAACAAGTCTTCTTTTTACCATTACGCGACTGGCTCCAAAGCGGCTGTTTCAAAATCAAAGCTGCGTTTTTTGACACGCTCGTCAACCCCCGAACAAGCGTCGAATTCACACAGATTTTTCACTCGTCTGTTATCGGAGCGTCGGAACTGGAACAAACTTTGTGAGATTACCGATATCAACACAGAAACTTTGTCCATTCTTGTGGTTATTGATAGGCACGTGCTCCCATGCATAACGCCGCGACAAGGATTTTTCAAACTAGTACGGAATTAGGGGTAGGTCGGAATTAGGACACCCCCCCTTAGTGTAAAAAAAGTCCAAATTAAACTTTCAACTAAAGAAGACACGAAACGTGACTATGTATAGTATGGATGAAAACATAAGTGGCAGAAAGATTGATATAGTAAATGAAGTTCCCTGTATAAAATATTACTTGAAATTACATTTATTAGACGCGTCTATATCGTAATTTAAGCGTATGAAATATTCCTGTATACGCACAACACACATCACAATTTCTATGCCAAAAACATGCACGAATAAATCATGGAAAATAAGCATGCGCGCAAGCGCAGAAACAAGTAATCTAGATGAAATTGCTATTAAATGGGCTACGTCACCAGTAGTACAGTACGTGAGGTACAATGTACTAGGTTTGATTATTCTTTGCTAATTGTCCTAATGCATGTCTTCTATATATATATATTCATTTTCATTATTTCTGATAATTCTTATAATAGTTATGTTATTTGATTGTATTATAATTTCATAAGTTAGCAAGTTCGTCGGTTTTTCCCATTTTCTTGTGTATCGATAGTGATATAATGTAGTAGAATTAGCAGTAACTCACCAAGTAATTATTGGAAAACCCTACATAGATCTGTTTGGTTTCTGGTTTCTCCGACACGTTCTTATTATTAAGTACAATTTCTCTTGCTTTATGTGCAAAAAGTAAACAATAATAAGTTAAGCCATGTATTGGACATTAGCAATGGAGGTTTAAGCAGCTCATCTTGCTGCACACTTTACGGCAGTGGCTAAATGCATGAGCACTGTCTGAAAAGACTCGGACTTCGCACAGGCTCAGGGTTCGCGAGGGTCCGGGGAGACGGACGCCCACATACCGCCCCTTCATCCCCTGACAGGAGACGGTAATGGACGGCCGGTCCGTGCCGATGTAATGATCACCGCCACACCTGGGGTTCTCGTTGACCTGGTCGGAATCCCCGATGTGGATGTTGAAGGGGTTGAGTCGCTCCTGACAACAGTCCTGGCGGTTGAAGATGACCACTCTGTAGATATTGAAGACATTGGGTTTTATAAATGCTCGGATAGGACGAGGATCCCCAATGTGACATGCCTGTTCGTGGGACCTTGAATAAAATGTCCTTAACATCGTATTCAACTTGAAACTTTGAAAGATGCGGTTGTGGTATTTGAATTTGCTATGTCATATTTAATTATATATTACCCTGAATAATATTAAAGCTGCATGATGTAACATTAGGACGTACGTAACGCCTAAAATCATATAAGTGGCATTTTAAAGGTATCCAATGCAGTTTCAGGACGGCAAAGCAAGAACGAAATATTCTGGATGAGGGTATGTGTTGGACCATAGTATTTACTGCCATTTGGTATCATCTTTTCGTCATCATGTCATATTTTTACTATAGCCACAATACGATTCAAGCGACTGCAAGCTACGTGAGGCGTCGACGTCTCTTTATTCTGTGCGTACCGCCCATAAATACTACATGTAGTAGCTAGAACAAACCTGCGATACTAAACGGGAAACCATTTTCCATTAGCGACATCGCATCAGTATGGTCCGAGATAGAATTGATTCGGTTTACTACATTAAAAGATTGACCAGCAAATTGGCTTTGAAAATCCAGTTTTGCTGCCCTAAATTGCATTGGAAAGTTCTTCCTATCAGTGTGGGCTTCAACAAGTAACTAATAGATCAGTACACTTACGTCTTAATGTGAAACGATACTCCGAGATCCACCCACCAACTGGAGTTAGCTTCTCCTTCCTTCATGGTGTGTGTACAGGACCGGGAGTCGAAGTCAGCATCGGTGTTTCCATCTACCGCACGGCCGGCAACCGCGCGCTTCTTCCACAGCGTGCTTGTTTGGTAGGCATTCTTCCCCCGAGCGACGTTATAACTTGCTGTACGGGAGGGCTCTGGACGGCCTAAAATCAGGAATATCACTGTCACATCAACTTGAAATTTTCTGGGTCTCATCGTTGTTCGTCTTGACCTTGATATATTTGATATGTCAGCTACACTACGCAAAAGGGGTCTTACTGTACATGACTGACACAACACATTATCATGATGAACATAAGAGCCGTTGGTGAGTATTTCTTTGTGTGATTCCTTGTTTGTGAGGGTGTACGCGCCTGTATGTGTGTGTGTATACAACATGTGCGTGTCTGTATCCTTGTATGTGTGTGTGTGTGTGTGTGTGTTTGTGTGTGCGTGCATTTGTGTGTGTGCATTTGTAATGTGTGCGCGTGTATGTTTGTATATGTGGCGGTGAATGTGTGTGTGTGTGTGTGTGTGAGAGAGAGAGAGAGAGAGAGCTAGACAGAGAGAGAGAGAGAGAGAGACAGAGACAGAGAGAGACAGAGAGACGACAGAGAGAGAGAGAGTATGTGTTGTTTCCATACTGGTGCACATGACATGTGAGTGTTCTTTCACATATGTTGAATCAGCTACAGACCTTGGCCCCTGATGTTCCTGTAGTTAACACAACCCCGGCAGTCACAGTGGTCAGGCCCGTTGCCGCACCAGTTACTCCCGGAGCAGCATGGCGCTCCCCCGTCAGGGTCACATTGAGCGGGGTAGCCGTTTTCTGCAAGCCACAACTTACCGCATCGCCAGTCAGGGCGCCACTTCTTCGTACCAGTAGGAACTATGTCAGATGGACATAAACACGTAGCCTGGTGTCCAGCCTTGTTAGCTTTGGGCCGCTCCCCAAGATCAAATATTGTTGGCGGGGAGCGGATCTTGGGGAGCGGACCAAAGCTAACAAGGCTGGACACCAGGCTAATAAACACGTGCCGATTTTACAAATGAGAAGCAACATTTTGAAAACGTACTTTTCACGTGAAGTAGAAAGTTCAAACTTGCAAAGCAAATACATGGTGTTTTCCTTCACATGGTCTAACCTAACAAACGGGTATTATAAGTGTTATGTTTATTCTTTCTAAAACACATTCATTTACATGTACGATATAGTGACCAGCCCCTCCACTTCTGTCCTGCTACATAATGGAACCGAACACCACAGGGTGTCTGCTACAGCACCAGTTACCATGGTGACAGATGTCTGGTCCAGGTCATTGACTTTATGTGTTTGGAGAAGAAGAAAAATAAACAATATTACCTCGGGGATACCTTGGAGAAACTTCGGTGAAATAGGGAATAGCCTGTGGTGTTGTCCACCTCTTGCTGTTTGAGGTTTCTTCTAATTAATAATAAGTACAGCTGTCATCGTTATTACACCATGGCAGTTTAATGTTATAAATATTATATCATACACGGCTCACGACAGGGCTGATATCTATCTATGTTTAGAAGAGAAAACATGAAGTGAAAAGAAGAATACATTTCATCACTATTGGGGTTCCACAATTATCTACAGTCCTTCTTGTCTAAGAGAAAATCAGAAAGAGACTTTCTAGGTTTGGTTTATCTGTTGGAGTGCGAAGAAAAGGTTTAGTGATCCTTAGTAAGCCGTGTCTGAACAGAACGCATCTGTGCGTAAGCTCCTGTCACACAAATCCGAATATAGCCTCCCGAATACTGCCGAACACCAGCAAGGTTGGCTGGTGTTCGGCCAGGTCGGCTACCGTTCGGCTGTGCCACTCTAATGTTTCAATTTTTTCAATAAGGCAGTCAAATTTGACTCAAGTTCAACTCAAATTCGATTCCATTCGTATAGGAAGGTGTGGCCTAAATCTGACCAGACTGAATCCGAACTTGGTCGGCTTCTGTTCGGGGGAAGATTCTGAATCTTATCGTACGTGTTTAATTCCATGTACATCACATACAGCCAGGTAACGTAACATAATGGCCCCCACAACGAATACTAATGATTTTGTCGTGAGGTCGTGTGGCTTAGCGGCAGAATGCTCGACTCGGAATCAAGAGGTCCAGGGTTCGAGTCCAGACATGCCACCGCTCTTGTGCCCTTGGGAAAGGCACTCTACGCGACTTTCCTCACGTAACTCAGGTGAAAATGAGTTTTGTATTGTCCCCTGTGTTTGATTTCAAATGAGGAAACCTATAACAGACCTGGTTTTAGAAGACTATCAACAGAAATCACTTTCAAGTGAAGACTAAAAGGCTTGAATATGTATAATCAATGGACGACACAAGAATACCCAAAACCGCCTTAAACTGGAGATCTGTTTGTTGTGAAGAAAAAGCTTTAAAAGGAGGTACCCAAAACCTACTCTCCAAGCAGAGGTGGTGGGGGAATGATCGTTAAATTTTACATATGGCCGTTTTTTGTCGCTACAGCAACCTCCCGTCGGTGACCGGCAACCTTCTCTGGCTAATGGATACTGTCTTGCCACCGAATTAAATGGATCTGCTTGGAGATTACCCAAAACCCATTGGAGAAGACCTGTGTCGGATGATGTCGAAGCGCTGGGGCTCGCCCAGGACAAAGATGGAGGGAGCTGGTTCGCCTGGTAGGCTCGAAGCACACTGTGCAAGAGGACTGAGTGAGTGAGTGAGTGAGTGAGTCGGATGACCTGCCGTCCATGTGATTATCCTGGCTATCAGTGAAATGGAGCCATGATGGACGGACCGAGATGGAAAGATGGAAAGAAAAAGTCATGGCCTAATGTCTCGAAGGGGATCAAGAGGATAAGTATGCCAAGAGAATGTAGTCAAGACCTACCCGCAAAGACTTGGACTTCACACAGGGTCAACACTCGGGAGGGTCCGGGGAGAAGGACGCCCACGTACCGCCCCTTCATCCCTTGACAGGAGACGGAAATGGACGGCTCCTGGGCGCTGATGTGATGATCACCTCCACACTTGGGGTTCTCGCTGACCTGGTCGGAATCCCCGATGTGGATGTTGAAGGGGTTGAGTCGCTCCTGACAACAGTCCTGGCGGTTGAAGATGACCACTCTATAGATGTTGAAGACGAAACAATGACAATTGAGCTTGTGTTCGAATGGACACCCTTTTAATAGGCTGTGCCACTGGGCAGCTAGAGCAACCAAAATGGATTTGTGTGATCCTTGCATTATTTTGTTCGAATATGATACAAGATATAACGTTAAAAGTTAAGATTTTAAGGACATCAAAACATATCTATGACATTCGTTGAGCGATCTATTAAATCTTAGTTGCTCAGCGAGTATGTTAGAGACATCACCCCCCACTCAAGTACTTAACTATTTGATCTGAAGAACCTGTAACACTTGGGATCTTAAAGCTGTAAAGTTAAAGTATCTTGAGCCTTATGCTATTTAGCGTTGTTTTATAGTAATCTACAATTCTACCAGAATGTAATCTCTACCATACATATAAATAAACACATATAGGATATTGGGGTGTTATTATTTCTTACATTATGCTTAGGTCACAATTCAAGAAAGGGGCCCGCTCGGCGCGTGTTCGGCGTGTTTTTTGGCACTACCGAACGGGACCTGGACGGAGACCGGCGGGCTTCCCGACGGCTGCCGGCCTATTTTTGGCCCCGCGCGGTCGCCGAATCGATTTTAACTCAGAGTTAAAAACACTTCGGGCCCCGTTCGGCGAAATACGCCGAAGCGACGCCGTAACCTCACTGCCCGGGACCCGTCGGGCGCCCGAACAGGCACCTGCCTAAGATTATGACGTCACATGTGCTGATCAGTGCATCAGATGGTCAGGAAAAGGGGGTTAAAGGGAGCATATATAAACTCCTGCCTCAGACTACGTCGGACAGTTCACCACGTGTGTGTTACATCGTGTACTACTTGTGTGTGTTACACCTTGTATTTGTGTGTCAGAATGTTGAAGGGCAAGGGAAAACAGCCGGCACGGATCTCTTGCTTCATAAAACAGATCATAACAGGAATAGAATGTGTCTGACATTATCTCTTGTTACATCATATGACTTCGTAATAAAATGGAATCAGAAGTTATTGGTATTTATTTTCAGTCCAAATTTCAACAGAAGTAACGATATTCAGTGGTTTTATTGCTCAATAGCAAGGAACTGCCACGGCACACTTCCTGCGTCACTGCTGAAGTACTTCCTGCGTCACTTGTTGAAGTACTTTCGAAAGTAGGCCCTCGGTTACTTTTGCGACGCACCAGTTCTGCCTGCCTCTCTTCTTCAGCTACATTTGTACCAATGCCAGAAGACCTACATGTAGGTTGTCACCAATCTCAATCTCAGACGGGCTTGTAAGTTGTTTGCAGGTTGCACTGAACGCTGCATCTCCAACTTCAGTCTACTCTTTACTTGACGTGTACTCTTTACTTGAAGTGAACGGTAGCAGGCAGTGCAGTGCTTATATATGTACCTGCTCAAAAACACGAGAGGAGCCCGTCGGGATCCCGCCAGGAACCCGCCAGGGACCTGACAGCTGCCCGGCCGAACTGTAAGAGCCGGTCGGCACCCTACCACACGCCGCACGGGTCAAGACGGGCGACTGACCGGGCACCGGACGGGTCCCTGACAGAAACCGGCCGCAAAAAGTTTATGAATATTAATGAGAGCCGCCGGCCGGAGCACAAGCAGGCCCGGACAGGGAGCCGTAAAGGAACATTTAATTGTGACCCTGACAGTACGGCGCACGCTCGGCGTCATGACGCCGGCCGGCGTCTACGCCGAGGACATGCCGAACGGGCGCCGTTTCAAATGTGACCTAAGCATTACGGGTGATGACTCTCACCTGCTTACATTTCCATGTCTGTCACCCGCTTGCGTTTCGATGTTTATCATTTCTGATAGACATCGGAACGTAAGCAGGTAAAAAAGACCTTACCGGTTGTGTGAAAAAAATGAAAACCTCAAAATTCTACGTTTACCAACCAGATGAAATTATTTTCGGAACTAGAGGTCAGAGATCTCATGTCTTCGTCAGAGGGACATTGTTCTAAGATAAACGAACATTTTTAATACTAGAAATACATTTGGTCTAGAGAACAAAAGAATCTCGGTACTCCTTTTTTCCCTTGTTTTATTCTACAGAACACCCCGAAAGGGTTTGCCACAGATTTACAGATGTACTGTACATTTACAGACGCAATTTGTGTCCTAACCTTTGTATTTCCACAGTTAGTAATGTGCTTAAAATCTATGCATCTTAATCAGTAAAAATTACTTGGTCTGGCCTTACAATTTAGGGAATGACCTGCCTGAGGCATGCCCAACTTTCCCTCCCCCACACGTACAGTATTTATAGAACAGCCCCTACATTGTAAGCAATTGATAACAGATGGGGAGACCAGCTGTCTCGCATCTGAATCAATGCAGAGGTTGGTGGGGGTAAATTATTATATATCTAACACAAAAGATCCACTGCAGTGACATTGATAACCCCCACGAGGCCCGATTTCGAACTTGACCTTGGCCTCTACAATGGTGGCTTGCCTACCAAAAATCATGATCATCTATTTAAATATACTTGAGTTATTTTGCTCACAAACACAAAAAATCCGCTGCAGTGACGTACGGACCCCCCCCACGAAGCTCAAACTTGCACTTGACTTTCCCCTCAACAACGGTAATCTGCCTGCCAAAAATCATTGACGTGGAATAATGCCTTCAAGAGTTATTCCGCTAAATCCGCAGTCACCCACAATCCGGCGAGACAATTTCATAGTCCTTCTGACGAAGACAAATATACATAATACATAGTTTTTTACACGTACCTTTCAGCCATATACGATCGCCCAAGATCCACCCACCAGCTCGGGTTTGGCCGTGCCGGGTTTGCCGTGTGTGTACAGGTAGCGGGCTGACTGAAGTAGTCGGTGGCGGTGTTCCCGTCTACCGCCAGGCCGGCAGCCCCGCCCCCGGAGCTGGTTTGGTACGCCGGCCTCCCCAGCGCCACATTGCCATGAACACCTGCTCCAGGCAAGACGACTGTCATCAACATTATCATATGTTCTATACATCGATGACAACTGACATTTCTGGCTTCTTTGCAAAGACAATATCGCGATAAATGGACATTATGTACCGATTTCACACAAAAGGTAGAAATATCTTAATCAAAAAAATTTTCTTGTTATTATACATGTTTGTATTTTACTTCCACTTACTTCAACTTTACAAAACAGCCCACACAAGGCACACTCATTTTGGAGCATCAGACAACAGCCTATCTGGCAGCTGTGTTTCAACTTCAAGCTTCCAAACATATTCGTAAGGCGTCATAGTTTGTCCCCTCCATTTCCTGAATGGCACTTATTACCTTCGCCAAGAATTGACGAAGGTTATGTTTTCCTGGCCGTGTGTCTGTGTGTCTGTGTGTTTGTCTGTTAACAGCATAACTCGAGAAAGTTTAGATGGATTATCTTGATATTTGGTAGGTGGGTAGGTCTTGATGAGACCTGGAAATAATTAGATTTTGGACCCCCTAGCGGCTTGTTATGGTACTGCAGCTAAACTTCCGGTTTTGATATCTCATGAGACATACTGGGGTGACGAAATTTGGATGGTAGGTAGCTCTCATGCTGGGGAAGAAGTGACATGAGTTCGGGATCCCTAGCGGCTTGCTCAGGAACTGCAGGGCTATCTGTTTGAAAATATTCAAAAGAGGATAACTCAAGAACCGGTGAACGGATCGTCGTGATTTTTGGCATGTAGGTAGCTCAAGTGACGCTTGACATAATTATGCGACAATTATGCAAATCTGGATCTAATTTGCATAATTAATGGGGAAATTCTATAAATCAGCTTCATTACATTATGGGACTATTCAAGCTTTTGACATGTAATTGAGAACGAGAGAAACACAGGCAGATATTGATTATGTAAATTAACACCTAATTTGCATAATTAATGAGAAAATGTTATAATTCCATATGCTAACTGTAGAATTTCATACTTGGGGTATTTGAAAGTTAAGTGAAGGTGAACATCATTAAACATAACTTATTCAAATAAGGACCTCTTTTGCATAATTTATGAGGAAATGATAGAATGGCTTTCTTTGTTAAGATATGGCTGTCTTTTGATGGAGAAAATGATCAAATATATAATACAATATTATAATACAATATTATAAAATAAATATAATACAAATGAGGATCCTATTTGCATAATCAGAAGGAATCATCTTGGTCAGTCATAAAGATTAACATCATTTGGCGAAGGTATGAGATCGTGGGACTCTAAGTTGAACTAACCCTACTCCATAACAAACTACTTAATGACATGACCAGAAAATTCAGAAATTTTTACATCATCATAATGTTACACACTGCAGCTTTGAATTGTCCTACCTTTCTGAATGGATGATGTCGGTGCAGCCACAGCTTTGGTGCTCACTTCCGCTTCACGTCCGATCAGGTCGGGAGGTTGGGAGGAGATATTTGATGATGTCGTGACAACAGCACGACCAGTGTTGTCCACAGCAGGGTAGCCAGCGGTGTAGCCAGTGTCCACAGCTTGTGTCGGCTGTAGATATGAGAGCATTTACCTAATATTTAGTACCTCAATAACACAACTTGTGACGAGTGTAAACGTGGAAGAGTGCGTGCGTGTGAGACTGTGTCTTCGCGTGGCCTTTCGGTCAGGTTTTAGCGGATATGGTTGTATTCAGTCTGTCCCAGAGTGAGAAAGTCACTAATCACGTCTCCATCTGCTAGCGCTCGCTGATTTTATTGGTGAGTGTCGTTACATGACCTCCTTGACAACTGACAGCTGGTGTTATTTCCCTTGCACGATGAAAAAAGACTTATAGACAGCATTTGAATTGTTCCTGAAGTCCCGGAAGTTGTTTCTTATTCATGTTTGTGTCAAATGATGTACACATTGTATTTTTCATGGGAATAAAGAATACTAGTAACATTTTTGTCGTCTTGAAGTGATAGAAACATGTTTACAAGAGGCATACATGTTGTGTAACGTTTCAGCTAGAAACGGAATGGAAAACGGATTAGCTGTAGTGTTTTTTTTAATCATTGCATTTCACATGTACATACATACATACATACATACTTCACATTAACAAAATATAGAGACATGGAAAAACATAATCCAGGGATCCGGTGGGAAAGAAATATACAACAAAGATTATTAAGTGGCCTAAATTTAATAAAAAGTGGTGTTACCTTTTGAACGTTCCTAACGTTGCTGAAGTAATATAAGGAGGCCCCGGCAAAGGCCAATACGGCAATTACCACCACAGCGGTAACCCTGACATACATGCACTCTGAAATACAGAGGATAGGAACATCAGGGTGGGGGAAATATAATGTAAAATGTTTTAACGAGAAAGATCTGATATTTACAAGGGATGGCTTTCAACTGATTTTTAAATGCAAAAAAAAATCACCTAACTTTAGATACCGAATCAAAAGAAAACAAAATCAAAGCGGAAAGTGACCTTGAGGAAAACAAATGAAAACTAAGGACCTAGAATTACGTGGATGGTAAATATTATTATTTTGATTAATAATCTGTGTCATCTCCTGAAAAATGTAGATAACAGAGTAATAGGGTTTCTTTTCACACATTTTCCCCGTATTCGAAAGAGACGTAAGCAGTTAAAACTGTTACAGTTTAACGTAAGCAGTTAAAACTGCTTACGTCTCTTTGGCTATCTATATGTGTACCAGAAACCACTACGGATTTGGTGCACCAATGTGCCAACATTTTCACATTTGTAATTTTTTTTCATTTTTTTAAATTTTAGATGATAACAGTTTACGTCACGTAATATGAAAGTAGATTTGAAGAAAAAAAACTCACGGTCTGCTGCTTGTTGCGGTGCGTTCGGCACGTATGTCGGGTTCCGGTTCAGACCGTTTTCTGCGGATCTCGGAGCTGTATTTGAGGAGCGCCGTTCTTCAGGTAGGTTATTGGAAGGACGTTTAAAATCAGATTTGAAACCTTCTTGGTTAGCGTTATCGTTTACAGGAGCCGCCTGGTCAGCATCGTGTTCAGATGAGTTGTCTTCTGATCCATTCGTCGTATCCTGGCACCCGTACGCGACGGCATATGGCTCCTCTTCGGTACTGCCGTCTGCGATGTACATTGGTTCTTCAATCTCAGCCTCGGCGGGACTTTTGGCCGCCATGTCATCTTGGCATATGTTTTCATCCCTTCGTCGCCTGGAATAGACATCAGCACAGACGACTAAGATTGGTTGTCCGTTGTTAGCTTCAGCTGTACCGGGTAGATGATGAGGTTGTCCCGTGCGTACTGTAGATATGGCGGGATCTTCATCCTTGTCGGCGTGCGCAGGGCCAGGCATGTCCTGATCTGTACTTGAACGCTGTGGGAATTTGGGACTTTTAGCGTCATCTTTGACAGGAATCGACTTGGCAGCATCAGTGTCAGATGGGCTGTACCCTGCCATGTAGATCGGGTTCGGGAACACGTGTGAAACAACCGCAGGTGGATCCAACTTCAGCTCCGTCCGAACATCTGAACGTGTCTGCGTCACACTAGTAGGTCCCTCGGAGACGTCGTTTGTGTTGTCTCTTGGCGTGACGTCAGCGGTGGAGATGTCTTCAGCCATGTTCAGTCGTCCTCCTGCTGTGGCGAGCAATTAAGATTTTTGCAGTTCCTTCAAGATTATTGTGTGTTTGTCTGTCTTTGTATTATGTGTGTCTAAAAGGGTGAAATATTTCTTCATTAATCTTCATCAATAAAATTTAAGACATACGGTCTTAAATTTATACGCTTCTGCCCATGGATATCTATGCATACAGAAAGTATCCAAATCCATTAATGTGTACCAAGTAAGTTAGCGCCAAGAAAAGTTCCCATAATGTAACCCAATTTTATACGGTACCTGTTTACTGTTTTCAATAGATATGCTAATTTCGTTATTTTGTTATTGGACAAAATATGTAAAACTTTATTGCATGAAAATTGTGCACGGTATAATGCATGGCAACAACTATTGGACAGCACAAAAAAAGAAAAGGTATAGAAAACTTTATATCTTAATTACTAAAACAACACGGGCTAGTAGTCGTATATAATGGAGTGGAGCTAACAATGACTTTTGGTATTTTATCTAATAATGAAGCAGTAAGTTCGTCTGTGTTGGTATACTTAATTTTGACGATATGTTTGCCTATTTTTGCACTGCGAGCGTTATTGCATTTAAACATATATTCAAATCTGCCTGAAGCATCAAGTCTCTTGAAATCTGTTGTACTTGATGTGAAGAGCTTGTTACGTAAAACGTAACACATCTAGAACATTCCACGAATTTATAAGGTGTTTGTACTCACAATAAGACGTCTGCTGAGGCGGTTTGTAGTAGGAGTCTTACAAACAAACCTCAGCTGCGTAGACAATATAGTACTTGATCCTGTGTAGATAGGTGTCGATCGATCACTAGAAGGAATCTGGTAAATGCTGTGATAATCTGAAGACATTTCCATCAAAAACACAAAATGAAAAGCTTTTGCGCGGTGAACAGATCTTTCTCCAAGACTCGAGCTCATCCATGGACTTTTTTCTCAGCATCAGACAAATGAAAACACAGGTTGCTGAACATTCATGTATGCTTATGAAATACATGTAGTCATGTAATACAAAGTCACGCACTAAGGCAATTCCATCTCTACAGTTATGAGTCTGCTTCAAGCCATTGGAATATGCAAATGCTGAAAAGCAGGTACCATCCAGTGCAATTTCAGGGCGGCAAAAATGGATTTTCAAAGCTTTGTAGTCATTCTTTTAATGTAGTAAGTAACTTCCATAGAATACTTACATCTGTGAGCCAAAAATTGTGATGGGCTGGTTCCAGGTTTTGTGGTGGTACCTAAAAATAGCGGCTCCTAGCTCATATAGCTTGTTTGGGGGCTACAGTATTTCAAACGCTTCAAGTAAGACATAATGGCGACAGTGTGCAAAGAAATTGTAGTACTAGTAAGTGTCAATATCACATTTTTTTGTTTTGCCGCCCTGAAATTCCATTTGATGCTTCATATACATGTAGCTTCTTGATGAGTTATCATGCTGAACCGCATCCAGACATACATACAAATGCTACCTAAAAACCAGGCAAAGGTAACAAAATACACCTTAGATTTTACATTATATTGCCCTCATTCTTTTTGACCCTCTGCCATGTGGTCAAGATACAATGTATGTACAATGTGGTCAAGATACAATGTATGACAATAACATGGTCGTCTTCCCACTCAGACATTGTTAGGTCATCGTGTGGAGGAGAATCTGCATAGAAAGATCTTCACCCGTCAGGAGAGAAGGAGTCATTATGGAGACATCAATGTGAAGGCTACAGCTCCACTGGGTACCCAGTGTTCACCTTTCCAGGCTCTGTCCATGCCGGTAAGGACATCTGCATCTATATTACTGGACACAGACCCTCACAGGGTATTACATCCAGAGAAATGACATGATAGTGGAATCAATTTCTTCCCTATTGAAGGCATTTCTTCTCTTTTAGAGGCATCCAATGCAACTTCATGGTCGCAAAACAAAATGAAATATTCTGGATGTGGAAATCTGAAAATATTCACATTTACTGCCATTTCTTAGCATCTTTTGGTTATCATACTTGAAGCGTTTGAAATAGTCTCCAGATTCTGTTAATTTGTTGGGTACCACCCATAATAGCTAGAGCCAGCCTACAATACAGAACAAGCAAGTTGAAGCAACATGAATGTAATTATCTTGTACAGTAATTTGATTGGACTAGAAATGTTGTCAGCTGGTCTGGATTTCTCTGACTAATGTGCCACAGCAAAGGTACAATTTTTTGGCAATGCCTCAGGGATGTAGGCATTTATTGTATATTTAGCTGTGGCGCTTAAGTGTGACTTACTGGCTTTCAAAGTTGCAAATGATTTATGCACTGTACCTTGGATAGTTTCAGAATACTTTGTATTTTATATATCTTTGTTTGTATTTGCAATATTAATATTCATGACACAAAGTGCCAAGGATGTTATACAGTAAGCTAAAATCTTGAAAATATTGTATGATATCAAATCCTGAAAAGATTGTATGATATTATGAGCATATATTTTCACATGCAAATTGCACCTCTTTGGAATTTGGTCACACTTTTGATGAAACCAATAAAGCTATTAATAGCTGATTCAGAATGATGTCAGAATAATTTTTATTTGTTTATTTATTTGCACAACAACAAAGCACACATACATAACACAGTAACCAATAGATAAAACAGGTGCAGCAGGAGAGGAAAAGCATATACAGCTTATAATATGCCCTCCTCTATACTAATCAAACTTGATCAAAATTGAAATAAAGTAAAACATATAGTCACATAATGGAATAAGTATAACCAAATTATTAATGGACCATAAATTGAGATAAGAACTGGACATAAGAATCTACTACATGAGGCTGGGCAATTCTGAATCCTTGTTCAACTGATGACAAATTTGATGTGTTATTTAAGTGTTCAATGTGTTTACCTCTGCATCATCTACATCTGGTGATCAGCTTTGTTTCCATACAATATTTTTTAGTTAGCATGGTCAAAAATGTCAGAATGTCTTATTGATTCAGTTTCTGGACTTACTCCCATGGTCTTTTAATTGCGTGGTTTATCATATTTGCGTGTTGCCCACATTGCTGTCAGTGACAAAATGTCTATGATAGTAAAATCTTTTTCTTTTTTATTCTCAATTAACGTAGTATAAACAAAAAGCATATAGTCCAAATTAAACATTTAACCAAAGAAGAAGCGTGACTATGGATCAAAACATAAGGCAGAAAGGGTGATATAGTAAATGAAGTTCGCTGTCTAAAATATTACTTTAAATTACATTTATTAGACGCATCTATATCGTAATTTAAGCGTATGAAATATTCCTGTATACACACAACACACACCACAAGTTCTAAGCCCAAACCATTATGGTATACATGGCATCGTAGTAGGATGTTGCAAACAACTATGTTGCACGAATACCTTATGCAAAAGAAGCGCTTGACCAGTGCGCGTGTCGCATGTGCGCAAAATGTATAATTAGTCAGCTTGGACGGCAAACATGAGTTGGCAAAGGTATGTCAGAGGACGTGCTTGCATATAACCAACAGTGTTGTACCTTGTCCCTGACAAGAATTTCACCGGTGTGTTGCATGTTACTAGGTAGGAGCTATGTGAATAATTTGTATAAAAATATGTATTCGCAGATGAGCATGATTGTAAATGTAAGCCATCTACAGGTGGTCATCACCAAGCATAAGATTTACGAAAGCTCTAAACATGTCATGAAGGTATGAGATCGCCGAACTCTATAGTTTCTGGATGAAATTGATATTAAAGGGGTCATTTCACCAGTACGTCAGGTATTAAGTTTGATTATTCTTTGCTAATTGTCCTAATGGATGTATTCTATTTGATTTTCTTTATTTCTGATAACAAGTAACCAGAGCAAGCTTTTAAGACTTCGCCTGCACTTAAAAATGTTCACACAAAATGTCACATTGCACTAACCCACAATCTACTAGAGACTCCAAACTTGAAACCCTAAATTCTAAACCCCTAAACCTATTCAGAATAAAAAAAACAAGAACATTGCTTTTTCACAACTTGAACTACTGACAGACTAACCAACAATCACCAAAAACCCACTACAGCAACGTACGGACCTCCCACGACGCCCATTTTCAAACTTGACCTTGCTCTCGTCAACGGTAACTTGCTCACAAAAAAAATCGTGAACATCCATTTGCAGATTCTCGAATTACCCTGATTACAACAAAAATGACAACACAAAAGGTGACGTGGGGACCCCCACGACGCCCATTTCCGAACTTGACCTTGGCATTCTCAACAGAAACTTGCCATCTAAAAATCATGAACATCCATTTAAGGATTCTCGACTTATCTTGATGACAAGCAAGAAAAAACAAACACAAAATGTCAACTGCGGTGACGTAGAAACCCCCCACGAAACCCATTTTTGGCCTTGACAATGGCCACCTCAGACAACCTGCCTGCCAAAAATCGTGAACTTCGGACCATTCCTTCAAGAGTTATCGTGCATAATCTGCCAAACAGTGCCGAAACGATTTCATAGCCTTCACGTCGAAGGCTAATAGTAAACAATAATAAGTTAAGCCGTGTATTGGACATTAGCAATGGAGGTTTAAGCAGCTCATCTTGCTGCACACTTTACGGCAGTGGGTAAATGCATGTGCACTGTCTGAAAAGACTCGGACTTCGCACAGGCTCAGGGTTCGGGAGGGTCCGGGGAGACGGACGCCCACATACCGCCCCCTCATCCCCTGACAGGAGACGGAAATGGACGGCCGGTCCGTGCCGATGTAATGGTCACCGCCACACCTGGGGTTCTCGCTGACCTGGTCGGAATCCCCGATGTGGATGTTGAAGGGGTTGAGTCGCTCCTGACAACAGTCCTGGCGGTTGAAGATGACCACTCTGTAGATATTGAAGACATTGGGTTTTATAAATGCTCGGATAGGACGGGGATCCCCAATGTGACATGCCTGATCGTGGGACCTTGAATAAAATTTCCTCAACATCGTATTTAACTTGAAACTTTGAAAGATGCGGTTGTGGTATCTGAATTTGCTATGTAAATGTAATAATTTATTATATATCACCCTTAATAATATCAAAGCTGCATGATGTAACATTAGGACGTACGTAACGCCTAAAACGCCGAAATATTCTGGATGAGGGAATATGTTAGACCATGGCATACTTTTACTATAGCCACAAAACAATTGCAAGATACATTGTACGTGAGGCGTCGACGTCTCTTTATACTCTGCGTACCGCCCAAAAATACTAGTAGCTAGACCCGGCCTGAGTTACTAGGCAGGAAACCATTTTCCATCAGCGACATCGCATTTTTGCCTCACAGACATCAGTATGCTTCGAGATAGGATTGATTCAGCTTACTACATTAAAAGATTGACGGGCAAAAAATAAATCCAGTTTTGCTGCCATGAAATTGCATTGGAAAGTTCTTCCTATCAGTGTAGGCTTCAACAAGTTTTCTATCAGGACCTGATAGATCAGTACACTTACGTCTTAATGTGAAACGACACTCCGAGATCCACCCACCAACTGGGGTTAGCTTCATTTCTGGTGTGTGTACAGGACCGGGAGTCGAAGTCAGCATCGGTTTTTCCATCTACCGCACGGCCGGCAATCGCGCGCATTTCCACCAGCGTGCTTGTTTGGTAGGCATTCTTCCCCCGAGCGACGTTATAACTTGCTGTACGGGAGGGCTCTGGACGGCCTAAAATCAGGAATATCACTGTCACATCAACATGAACCTTTCTGAGTCTTACCGTTCTTTGTCTTGACTTTGATATTTAATATGTCAGCTATACACTACGCAAAAGGGGTCTTACTGTATTTGACCGACACAACACATTATCATAATGAACATAAGAGCCGTTGGTGTGTATTTCTGTGTGATTCCTTGTGCGCGTGCTTGTGTGTATATGTTTGCATGCATGCCTGTATTTGCAATGTGTGTATGTGCATGTGTATGTGTGTGTGTGTGTGTGTGTGTGTGTGTATGTGCATGTGTGTGCATTTGTGTGTGTGTTTTTGTGCGTGTGTTTGTGTGTGTGTATTTGTGTGTGTGTGTGTGTGTGTGTGCATGTGTGTGTGCATGTTTGTGTGTGTGTGTCTGTGTGTGCGTGTGTGCGTGCGTGTGTGAATGTGTGTGTGTGTGTGTGTGTGCATTTGTGTGTGTGTCTATGTGTGTGTGAACTAGTATCTCTGTGCGCGTATATGTCTGTATATGTGGCGGTGAATGTGTGTGTGAGTATGTGTTGTTTCCATACTGGTGCACATGTGAGCACATGTCAGTGTTCTTTCACATATGTTGAATCAGCTACAGACCTTGGCCCCTGATGTTCCTGTAGTTAACACAACCCCGGCAGTCACAGTGGTCAGGCCCATGGCCGCACCAGTTACTCCCGGAGCAGCATGGCGCTCCCCCGCCAGGGTCACACTGAGCGGGGTAGCCGTTTTCTGCAAGCCACAACTTACCGCATCGCCAGTCACGGCGCCACTTTTTTACATTTCAGCGCATGCGCGCTGAAATGTAATAAGACGGAATCTATCCCTCTTTGTTTCTTTGTTTATTTCTTAGGTAGTTTGGTAACTCTGCAGGCCATGCAATACCTGTTTACTTCTTTCCGTTTTGTGGGATATGCAATAGACTTGCTGCCATTTTAATCCATATGTTCTTTACAAAAAGAAACTTTATGTAGTAACAGTCTCATCTAGTGACATACCATTGATCGAAGTACGGTTACATAAGTTTTTAGGCGCTAATTTATTGATCGTACTACAAATCTAAAGATGATTGCATAAATTATGTTAATGACAACAATAATGCCGCCTGTCGCTAGATGTCGTTGTTGCATGTCCTGGCGAAGTTTCTCTATTATGTTTGCACTTTTATGTTTGCCTGTTGCATTGTTCTTACTCAGGAATGTCAATACGTTTGATACTTACTCTTTTTAAAGACGGGCTTTCATGTTTCAATCATAATTCGCTCGGACCTGCCCAATTTTCTCGGATAGCTATATATAGTATGTTGTTTAGGCAGCTAGGCAATGACATAATGAGATAGCTCAACGAGTAGAGTTGCTAAACGAGTGGCGGTGCACGTGGCGGGGTCTGGACATTGAGAGTCCGATTCCCGGTGAGTTTTTTTTTTATTTATTT